TAGGACTATTATTGACACCAGGAGTAAGCTGAGAAGAATAAAATCGATACAGCCAATCCACATGTGGCTTCGACAAGCTTTGTGACCAGACATAACGCAGTATAATATTTTTATTAAGTTGTTTGTAAATTGTTTTCCGGTACTTGGATGAGTGATTAATAAAACTATTATCCTGAAATTTAAACTATGGCTGGTCACAAAAATTGTCAAAGCCACATACCAATTGTAAAGGTTCAAGCAGACAGTGACATGACACCAATGCACATCTGAAACACTTAGTAGTGGGAAAGAGGAAGGAAAAAAAACAACCTTTGGCCACTTAGTTATACAAATGGGTAAAAAGTAGGGCCGTTGCGCGATTAAAAAAAAAATTGCGCGATTAATTTGTTTAAACATTTTTGGATGTTTTCTACATTTTCATATGTATTGATTTCAATTACAACACAGAATACAAAGTATACAGTGCTCACTTTATATTTTTGATTTTAGAAATATTTGCAAGGTAAAAAACAAAAGAAATATTTTTCAGTTCACCTAATATAAGTACCGTAGAGCAATCTTTTTATTATGAAAGTTGAACTTACAAATGTAGAATGATGTACAAAAAACCCTGCATTCAAAAATAAAACAATGTAAAACTTTAGAGCCTACAAGTCCACTCAGTCCTACTTCTTGTTCAGCCAATTTCTCAGAAAACCAAGTTTGTCTACATTTGCAGAAGATAATCATAGAATATTAGGGCTGGAAGACCTCAGGAGGTCATCTATCCCATTCCCCTGCTCAAAGCAGGACAAACACCATCTAAGTCATCCCAGTCAGGGCTTTGTCAAGCCAAGGCTGAAAAACCTCTGAGAATGGAGATTCCACCACCTCCCTAGATAACCCATTCCAGTGCTTCACCACCCTCTTAGTGAAATAGTGTTTCCTAATATCCAACCTAGACCTCCCCCACTGCAACTTGAGACCATTGCTTCTTGTTCTGTCATCTGCCACCACTGAGAACAGCCTAGCTCCATCCTCTTTGGAACCCCCCTTCAGGTAGTTGAAGGCTGCTATCAAATCCCCTCTCTCTCTTCTCTTCTTCAGACTAAATAACCCCATTTCCCTCAGCCTCTCCTTGTAAGTCATGTTTCCCAGCCTCCTAATCATTTTTGTTGCCCTCCACTGGACTCTCTCCAATTTGTCCACATCCCTTCCATAGGTGGGGGGGGGGGGGACCAAAAATGGACACACTACTCCAGGTGTGGCCTCACACCAGTGCCGAAGAGAGGGCAATAATCACTTCCCTGGATCTGCTGGCAATGCTCCTACTAATATAGCCCAATATGCCGTTGGCCTTCTTGTCAACAAGGGCACACTGCTGACTCATATCCAGCTTCTTGTCCACTGTAATCTCTAGGTCCTTTTCTGCAGAACTGCTGCTTAGCCAGTCAGGGTCCTCAGCCTGTAGGGATTCTTCCTTCCTAAGTGCAGGACTCTGCACTTGTTGAACCGCACCAGATTTCTTTTGGCCCAATCCTCCAGTTTGTCTAGGTCACTCTGGACCCTATAATGCTGCCTGCTTCTTGTTTACAATGTCACCTGAAAGTGAGAACAGACATTTGTATGGCATTGTTGTAGCTGGCGTTGCAAGATATTTGCATGCCAGATGCGCTAAAAATTCATATATCCCTTGATGCTTCAACCACCATTCCAGAGGACATGTGTCCTTGCAGATGACAGGTTCTGCTCAATAACTATCCAAAGCAGTGCAGACTGACGCATGTTCATTTTCATCATCCAAGTCAGATGCCACCAGCAGAAGGTTGGTGTGTGGTTGGTTGTTTTTTTTTTTTTTTGTCGTGTGGTGGTGGTTTGGGTTCTGTAGTTTCAGTATCAGTGTTGCTCTTTTAAGACTTCTGAAAGTATGATCCATACCTCATCCCTGTCAGATTTTGGAAGGCATTTCAGATTCTTCAATCTTGGGTCGAGTGCTGTAGCTATCTTTAGAAATTTTCCATTAGTATATCTTTTTATTTTGTCAAATTGGTAGTGAAAGTGTTCTTAAAATGAACAACATGTGCTGGGTCATCATCCGAGACAACTATAACATGAAATATATGGCAGAATGTTGGTAAAACAGAGCAGGAAACATAGAATTCTCCCCCAAGGAGTTCAGTCACAAATTTAATTAACACATTATGTTTTTAACTAACATCATCAGCATGGAAGCATGTCCTCTGGAATGATGGCCGAAGCATGAAGGGGCTTATGAATGTTTAGCAAATCTGACACATAAATACCTTGCAATGCCTGCTCCAAAAGTGCCATGTGAATGCCTATTCTTACTTTCTGGTGATCTTGTAAATAAGAAGCAGGCAGCATTATCTCACATAAATGTAAACAAACACTTGTTTCTCTTTGCGATTGGCTGAACAAGAAGTAGGACTGAGTGGACTTGTAGGCTCAAGTTTTGCATTGTTTTGTTTTGGAGTGCTGTTAAGTAACAAAACTACATTTGTAAGTTGCACTTTCATGACCGATTGCACTACAGTACTTGTATGAAGTAAATTGAAAAATACTACTACTTTGATCATTTTTACAGTGCAAATATTTGTAAAAAAATATAAAGTGAGCACTGTACACTTTGTATTCTATGTTGTAATTGAAATCAATATATTTGAAAACATCCAAAAATATAATAAATTTCAAGTGGTATGCTATTGTTTAACATTGCGATTAATTGCATGAGTTAACTGTGATTAATCGACAGTCCTAGTAAAAAGTTAAAATAGTAATGACTAGTTTTAATAAAGTAAGTCAAAGATTAATGACTTGCAATTAACATCCTAGTTCTTTGGTGCAGTACCTCTTGTGGACCACACTGTGGACTAGCCTTCACATACTGTAGAAATGCAAGTAGTTGAAACACTGTTCTTTAGCTAATATTTACTCGGGTGCTAAGAACTCTTAGAGTAAGACCTGGGAGTTACCAACAGTATAGTGTCTGGATCAACAGGCTTCCATCTCTGCTAAAGCAACTGTTTTGCTCCTTTAGTAATGAGGAGCCATTAACCGTTATTTTACCAGCAATTACATTTAGCACTAAATTATTATCTAAACTCTTATAAATGAATTTGCTTGTTATTTTAGTCTGTGATTGAACATAGGTAACTAAACCAATGACCAATTACAATAAGAACGTTTAACAGTTTTTTGTAATCAGTTACTGACCTACTTCACTTTTATGGTGTACAGGTATTTAACTCTTGTGAGCCAGTTTCCCATCTTTAAAATATAAAGACACTTACCTACTTCATATGAGTGCTCAGGGACCTAAGTAGATGTTTGAAGTGCTATACATATGCCAAAAAAATGACAGAAGCAGAAAACCAGCTTGATATTTGCTCATTCCTTTAGGTCATTAAGGCCTCTAGTCACCACTGTGTTTGGTGTACTCCTCTCTTCCCCTCCCT